AACATTGAATGAGGAAGACTTCATTTAAATTCCATAAAACATAACTTTTATCTTAAAACACAGTCATGAACTTACGTGTTTCGAAAACATCTTTAAAACGACACAACAAAATATTAAATAAAATGAATAAGAGTTTTAGTTAAATACATCCTATTCTAGCCTAAGTCTAAGAAAATAAATACCACTACCTTATGCATGTGCCATGGTCTCAAGTTGCGATGTCGTCGTCAGCCGTACAGGAATGCCTTGCCTTAACCTGAAAAATGTAGTAACACATGACGTATTTAAAGACATACTCAGTAAGTGACCCCACTATTGGGGTTAAATGCAACAATCACATGCAATGAGATGATGAGACCTATCTTTCATTATGTTTTTCCTACGGTGTTATCCTAACGGGTAATTTTGAACGTGTACCATATACTCTACACATAGCCCATAAGTGCAAGTATGGGCTCACTAGCTAATTCGCACACCGCTGGGCCACTTTCCTTATTCGGTGGGCATACTCTGGGAGCCCCTTAAGCCGGACACTCACTAGAACTAGTAACTGTCACGGCAGCGCTATGCAAAGCATAACAATCGTTGTCCTGCCATTGGATATACGCGTCTGTACCCTCGTGATGGGATAGGGGTATCCCCAAATATATGAGCACACATAATGCATGAGGTCCCAAAACTTTTCCATTTTCATTATCCTTTAATACAACCCCGCTAAAATTATGTACATTTCATATCATTTCAGATATCGTTCATCATTCATATCATATCGTTTCTCATTGTTCAGTTCTCAAATCATATATAATTCTAACAGGGTTATATTTCATGTCATTTATCGTACTTTCATGTCATTCATATCATGTTGTATACACACAATTTAAGAGACCTAACATAACGTTCTATGCTTTTAACATAACATTTCATCATATACACATCATACCATGACATATTGCATCACAATGTATCATATCATAAACAAGTCATAACGTAAACACTTCGTACAGTAATGATTATCATACAATTCACATATTATAACATATACTTAACATATAAGAAGCATATCGATCCACAGACAATTCACACATATCAATATATATGACACGTGTAGAACCACGGGGCAGTGTCAACATCAAATATAACCATGCCAATAGTAAGGTCACTTACCTGGTTAGCTTAAGTCGTTGTCACGAATATATCTTTAATGAAAGTTTGATTCCGTCCTTTGAAATCCAAGTCAACGTATGTGAGCCCATGACAGCAGTTTCAAGTTTGAAATCTACAAAATTGTTTCTCTAATTTACAAATGTTCATTGTTAAAAGTCTTGAAATATTATATGTCTATCCTTATATTTTTATAAAAAATCTTATTTTCCATGGTTACTGTTTGTATAAAAAAAAAATAGATACAGCTATTTAAGTTATTCTAGGCTTTACTATTCTATGTATTTACGTTTCTCTCTATATTTAGTTTGTGGTTTTTAATTCCTTAATCTTCTCTTTATCCGTGGCCTTTTAATTATGTTTTTATGTATTCCAAATTTCTAGTAGATCTCTGTTTCTAAATCTTTCCCTATCACCGTGTTTACTGTTTACAAATTTTCTTGGTCATTCTATTTTTAATCTATTCATTTGGCTACTGATATAAATTTAATATAATATTAACTAATCTGACGTTATTTGTTAGAATTCATATAAATGATTGAAATTTAGTTTCTGACTCAAAGGTAAACCATTGTAATAATTAAATGAAAATCTAACTATAATTGGCTGTGATTGCTAAAAAATTTCAATGAAAATTTAACTATAATTGACTGTGATTTCTAAAAAAACAATAGGATAAAAGAAAATGAAGATTTAATATATATCTTAGATCATATCTATCTTCACTTAAATCTCCCGTCAATCACAACTAGATAAATGTAAATCTCTCGTCAATCACAACTGGATAAACGTCATTCTCATTTTTTTTCTCGTCTGACCATTATTGTTTTCTGTTTTTTTTAGTAACAGTTGCTTTATGGGTAAGGATGAGTTGAGGAGAGATAATTGTGGGAAAAGATGAGAGGTTAGTGGAGAGAAGTGGAAAAATGTTGTTGTTTTATTTATTTATTTATTATTATTATTATAATTTTAACTATTTTTTATAATTATTTTTATTTGTTTCTTTGTTTATTTATTTTAGGCTATTACATTGCTACTATCTAAATTGCTCTTACATATTAGCCTACCTTCATTATAATTTAATCACTTTTCCAAACAACCTACCTCTTTGTGTGTATAAACACGAGTGTCCCTGAGTATAAAATCAGTGAGTTTAGTGTGTGAGATCCTAAACATATTCCATGTGCTATTACATTTTTTAGGTTAAGGCAAGACATTCTTGAGCGGCTGACGATGACATCGCAACTCGAAACCATGCAATAGTGATATTTATTTTCTTAGACTTGGGCTAGAATAGGATGTTTTTAATTTAAACATTTATTTATTTTATTTAGTCCTTTGTTGTGTTGTTTTAAAGGTGTTTTCGAAACACGTAAGTCCATGGCTGTGTTTTAAAATAAAGGTTACGTTTTATAGAATTTGAATGAACTATTTCCGCATTCAATGTTTACGATATGTATAAAGTAGCGACCTTTAAATTAAGTAAAAAATTTCAGGTCGTTACACTTTGGGGCTGACTTGGTAGGGCACAACACATTACATGTCATCAGACGCCTCAGAAAAGGAAAGACTTGCATGATATCATGGCAAACATAAATATCGATGGACATGACATACATACATGCATAAGATCCCATGATTTTTATTCATGACGTAACATTGATTTCATTTCCTTTCTCCTTCATCCATAACATATTTCATATATGGATCATGCATACTTGTCAAACATCACGTAATCATAACTTTACATGTAAGTACGAACTCCAGGTTGGTGAGTTGTGATCTTGTGGGATGCGAATGTTGCGATGGTCTGGGCCACCTGGAATCGAGATCCAAAACTTAAAACTGACCCAATAACCTGTCTTCTTCACCCGATGGTACCAAAACCAAACCCTCAATTTACTCTTCGTCACCGGTGAATTTTCCGACGTTCTTTCGCTCGATTTCACTGTTGTTTGTCTCCCAATCATTCGTGTAGTAACACCTAGTCACTCTCTTGCTTTTACTCATTGTTTACTCCACGAAAATCTCAGATGTGTGTGAGTTAATACTTCTCAATTTTTTCTCTTGGATACTCTCAGACATGTGTGGACGGTTTGCAAAACGAAGGAAAGGTGTGAATGTTTGATTAATCCACCACACCTAAATGGTGTAAAAGTTATCTTATTTATAATCAAATGAATTACAAGGATATGGAAATAGTAATAAATCGAAATAACAATAAATTGAAAGATACCTATGATAATAAGGCAAATATCTAATATAATATATATGGTAAACTATAATTTATTACTAAATATCCTTAACAAAAGGTTACATTGATGATGGATAGCACAAGAGTGGGAGCTTTCAAGAGTTGACTTACTTGTAATAATTATATGAATTGACATAAATTGTCGTATCTAAGAGTGCAACTCTAAATGGAGTAACATATACTAGATGAATAGAAATTGATTGATTAAATAATTTAATTAATTAATTTTGTATTATTGGATCATATAATCTATATTTCTACAACGTTCTCGTGCCACTCGTAATCCTACTAAAACATTCAATTTAATTGATTAAAATTTTAATGGTTTAAATTATAATTTAATATATTATATATTAAATATAAATGAGAAAATAGATTTTCAACAGGAAATTACATAAACTATTACATAATTACATGCCAAAGATTTTCAAACTCAGATAGAGTTAGTAAAAACTATTAAAAATTAAGATATGTAGTGAATTTAAATTATTGTAATTTAATTTATTTTTAATTTTTAGAATATGTTAAATATGTCGATTAATTTTTATTTTTTTATTTTTCATTATGCATAATTGCATATACTTTATTATGTCATTAAATTTAAATCTTATCTCTCACGTTGAGTACAATTGTTTCTCTAATAAACATCTGTTTACAGTCCAATTATAAATAAGTCCCTCCCAAGCCAATGAAAAGATGGACCCATTGTTCATCTATCTCCCAAAGAGTGAATTCTATCTCATTATATTAGGTTCCCAACTCGGGAAGTCTCCAAAATAGTATACATGTTGAATCCACTACGAGAGTTATTGTCACTCAATACTTTGTCTCTATGATTTTTGATTTATTCATCCTCGTCACCGTCATCCTATTTCTTAATTCTCGACCTTTGAGACTATTTCTCCAATTTTTTTTTAACTTTGAAGACTACTCTTTCAATTCCTTTTTTCAAATATTTTTTATACATTCCATTCCTTATTATATTCTTATTTTCCTTATATTACATCCACACATTTTTATTTCTTTCACTATTTAAAAATTTAAATAGTTATTTTATTTATCATAAAATTTAAAAAATAACAAAGTGTGTGACGATACACCTATGAAAAAACCAAAATATCCTTAAAATTTCAAAATAAATCTAAACAAAAAATATTTATCATAAGTTCAAAAGAGTTATTAACTTAAAAAAAATATTAAAAAAATATATTTGAATTTTGAAAAATTTTATTAATACCATTAAAAAAAATTTAAAACTTTTAAAACACTTCTAAACATTTTTTAAAAATTAAAAAGATATATTTATTATTAGTACCATGTTATTATATGAGAGGCGGATAGACAGTTTTCATACAATAACAATAAAAAAAATTTAAGATATAAATGCTATTTTTAAAATCCATAGTCATTAAAAATATTTTTTAAAAGTTATTATAAAATAGGTTAGGAGTATTTTTTTTTTTTTTTTGAAAATTATTAAAATAAAAAATATTTTTATACTTTTCATTAAAAAAAATTTTAAGAGTATTATTAAAAATTTAAAACATTTAAGAGTAAAAAACCAAAAGAGAAGGAGAAACTAAGCCATAACTTCCCCGATCCCTCTTTGATCTGTCAGACCCCCTCCCTCCCTGCGGTTTGCTTCTTCACCATCGCCGCCTATTTCTGGCCGCCGCCACCGCCGCTGCCCGTGGCATCTCTTCACTCGATCTCGCCACATTCTCCCAAGTCTTCATTCGGCAATGGTCAACAACATTCATTCTCCCCTCTTCTTTTCGCGCGACGCACTTGAGTAGCCGCAGCTCGCAGGTTTGATTCTGCTTTCTCTTCCTCGCTTGTTTCTTTTCTTCTGTTTTCTGGTTTCTGAGTTGGGCAATGACTGGAATGACTTTACGCTACTGATTTATTTGGGGGTTTTTGTTCTTTGATTTGAGGCTTTTGAGTGGTTAATTTTGATAGTCGTAGGAAGAAGCGGCAAAAATGAGTTGAAAAAGGGAAGATAAGCCTTGAATATCTTAAGTTCGAAGTTAATTTTGAGTTGTTAAAAGATTAATCGAGGGTTGAACTCAGTGATTATCCAAAAGGTTAGAGAGTTTCAAACTCAAAAAAAAATTGGAGATAGGGAGGGCTTTGGTAAAGATTTGTACTCAAGAAGGAAGTAAGACATTGCTCTAACTTCTGTTGGTTTGATTTCATTTCCATCTCTCTCTCGGTACCCTCTCTTCATCCCTGTCAGATTTTCAAGCTTCAGGTCATATACTTAATACCGCCATTGGACCACCACGTCTCACATTCCCATCACGCCGCCATTTTCAAGCTTCGTTGGTTCTTTGTTTGTTAGAGTAGTAAGATTGAATATTTAAATTTTGATGTCTTTCTTTGAAAACCGATCCACACCCTTCCCATTTTGTTGTTTTTCGTTGATTTTAATGTGGTTCTTCTAGTGTTTATGACATGTTTATGGATTGAACCAAACCAAATAGCTTTTTCAGTTCGATTTCAAGTAGTATATCAGCGTGGCTTGTTTTTAAGTTTTGCTGTTATTCTTTCTTTGGTTAGGTTTTGATTTGGTTGGAAAACTCGGATTACACACATTAAGATTTTAACGAGAAGAAATCAATTGAAAGCCGAGGGACCAAAATGAAATAATCATGAAAGTTGATGCAAATATGGGGTTTAATTCCTCGTCCGAATTTCAAAGAAGGTTGTTAACTGGAGAAAGTGTTCACACTTTAGGATTGAGCCTTTAGGTCAGTGCAGTGATTGTGGTTTTTGATTATATTGATTAGCCACAAATGCATTGAAAGGAAATTTACACACTCCCTCTATTATTGATTTCAAAGTTTGTTGTACCTTCCGATTCAGTTTATTAATTTTCACTCTGCATTTAAAATTTAGATGATCCATTATTCTGTAGGCCGTTGCTATAACTCTTCTTCTTTCTTCTTCCTTTTTTTTTTTCTTTTTTTGTAGAGAACAATTGCGGTTCAAAGAAGGAACCTCTTCTAAAGGAGAAGTGCTTTTATTATTCGAAGTAAAAAACCTAAATTACACTGAAATAATGTCTTATTCCAAAGACGCGGATCCAACCCTAGGCTACCTCACTCGAAAGGATGCAGAGGTGAAGTTGCCACGACCCACTAGGGTGAAGAACAAGACTCCAGCTCCAATTCAGATAACTGCCGAGCAAATACTTCGTGAGGCTCGTGAACGACAAGAAGCGGAGATTAGACCGCCCAAGCAGAAAATTACTGATCCAACTGAACTTGCTGATTATCGTCTCCGCAAGCGTAAGGAATTTGAGGATCTTATACGCCGTGTTCGGTGGAATATTAGTGTTTGGATCAAGTATGCTCAATGGGAAGAGTCTCAGAAGGACTTCAATCGGGCTCGTTCTGTTTGGGAGCGTGCTCTTGAAGTCGACTATCGGAACCATACCCTTTGGCTTAAGTATGCAGAGGTTGAAATGAAAAATAAATTTATCAATCATGCAAGGAATGTTTGGGATCGAGCAGTCACCCTCTTGCCTAGAGTGGACCAACTATGGTACAAGTACATTCATATGGAGGAAATGCTGGGTAATGTTGCTGGTGCAAGGCAGGTTTTTGAAAGGTGGATGGGCTGGATGCCAGACCAGCAAGGTTGGCTCTCTTACATCAAGTTTGAGTTGAGATACAATGAGGTTGAACGTGCTCGAGGCATATTTGAGCGCTTTGTTCAGTGTCATCCTAAAGTTGGGGCATGGATACGTTTTGCAAAATTTGAGATGAAAAATGGGGAAGTTGCAAAATCAAGAAATGTTTATGAGAGAGCTGTTGAGAAGTTGGCTGATGATGAAGAAGCAGAGCAACTTTTTGTTGCTTTTGCTGAATTTGAGGAGAGGTGTAAGGAAACTGAACGTGCACGGTGTATATATAAGTTTGCCCTAGATCATATTCCCAAAGGTAGAGCTGAGGATATCTATAGGAAGTTTGTGGCATTTGAGAAACAATACGGGGATAAGGAAGGAATAGAAGATGCTATAGTGGGGAAGAGAAGGTTTCAATATGAGGAGGAAGTGAGGAAGAATCCCCTAAATTATGACTCTTGGTTTGATTATATACGATTGGAGGAGGCTGCTGGGAACAAGGAGAGGATTAGGGAAGTGTATGAAAGAGCAATAGCCAATGTTCCTCCAGCCGAAGAGAAACGATATTGGCAGCGTTACATTTATTTATGGTATGTCAAAAAAGACGTCCTATGTTTATCATCTCTAATTTGGTAAGGATGGAGATTTTGTGAATATTTGCTGATTGTTTGTTTCTATTCAATTTAGGATCAATTATGCACTGTATGAAGAATTGGATGCTGCAGACGTTGAACATGCCCGTGATGTATATAGGTATGCTGAATTGTTCATGGTTATCAGTACAGCAATTTCTAAGATGTTATTTGTTGAAAAGAATAACTTTCCTTGAGAACAACGAAGGAAAGAAATTTTCTAAGATGATGTTAATATCTGTAATTGTTTTCTGGTACTGTAGGATATTTGAAACGTTATAAAACTGCTCTAACTTATTATTGATTTTAGATTTTATTCACTTCATCTAAGGCTGGATAGTTGAGTTTATCTTTTAATGTCCACGCCGAGTTGTGTTTGCATCTTGAAATCCACCCATAGTCATGGTATGGCACATAGTACATGCTTCTCGTTCTCAATTAGATTGGCTGAGTGTATTACTTGATGACTTATATTAAGGGGACAATTATGAAAATGATAAAGTTTACTTTTGCTGTCGATGACCAAAATTCACAAATTTGTCGAAGAAGACATGCTGAAACTTATCATTTTTGGTCAAAATAAAAAAAGAAAAAAGAAGAAGAAGAGGCGTGCTGAATCTTCTATAATTCTTTCTGTGTTGTTTGATAATGTCCAAGTTAGGGAAAAGTATATTTTCCTTTTATATTACAGTCTCTCTCGTGAAGAGTTTGTTTGATAAATATGCAATATAATCATTTGGAAAAATATTACATACTGTCTTGATTATCATTAATACATGTTATACATATATAAAACAGTTTTTTTATTCAACATAACTTTTGGCAGGGAGTGTCTAAATTTGATTCCTCATGGGAAATTTTCATTTGCAAAGATATGGCTATTAGCTGCACAATTTGAAATACGACAGTTGAACCTAAAAGGTGCCCGACAAATACTAGGCAATGCAATTGGAAGGGCTCCTAAAGATAAGGTAACATATAGATTTTCACTTCTTTTTTCTTTTTTGAAACATTATCTCCTTTGTTTATTTTATTATTTTATTTAATAACAGATTTTCAAGAAGTATATAGAGATAGAGCTGCAGCTGGGAAATATAGATCGATGCCGTAAATTGTATGAAAAATATCTTGTGTGGTCACCTGAAAATTGTTATGCATGGAGCAAGTATGCAGAGTTGGAGAGATCTTTGTGTGAAACCGAGCGAGCCAGGTCTATATTTGAGCTCGCAATTGCACAGCCTGCGCTTGATATGCCAGAGTTGTTATGGAAGGTACTTCAGGAATTATTCCTTTAGTTGAAGGTTCCATTTAGTGTGCATATTGGCATTTCTTCTTAAATGTCATTTAACTTTATAGTTTTTTTTTCGACCAATAGTTTAATTATGTTTGTCAAGTTCTTTCATTTTTCCAAGTTATCATATATCTTGGAACTATTTACCCCTTCATTTACCAGTTTGACTTCTCACTCTCTTGCATGGTTTATTTAGGTCAGATTTGTTGGAGCAACTAATATTTTTCTTTCTTCACATGTGCTATGTGTAAATAGCATCAATTGGTTCATAGGGACCATGTTTTACATGCTATTGCCATCTAGACATAAAAGGTTTATAACCAATTCAACGTTCAGGATGGGCGCATGAATTACTTTAAGGTCTATGGACTTGAAGTTGTTAAATATTGTTATCAGAAAAAAATGCAATGTATATGTGCCTTGGAAACAGTGTTCTGATGCGTGAAGAGCACTTGGGTTAAACTATAACGGGCACAAGCATATGATATTAATTTATTTCTAAACCTGAAGCCTTTCATCACGTTGAATTTTGAGAGTCTGGTGTATGTACTTTTGGGTTTGCTATATAATTTTTGAATTTACCTGAAAGAATGAAAGCTGATGTCGTAGCCTCCTATGTGGACATCAAATTCATCTTATCCACTTGTTTCCTTCTATTTATGCCCTTGTTAACAAAAATTGATTGTTTAGGTGTCATTTGATAACCATTTCGTTTTTGAAAATGGTGTTTGTTTTCTCCTCATTTTTCTACCATGGATTTCATAGTTCTTACGAAAACATTTGAATTCTTAGTCAAAAACAAAAACTTAGCTGAATTTTTTATAACATTAAAAATGCTGATAACAAACATGGAAACTCATAAGTGAAATAGTATTTGCAGGTTTAACTTTTAAAAGTAAAAAGCCAAATAGTTATCAAACGGGACTATAGTGATTTGAAATATGAATCATGAATGTTAGAGGTTGATTTGAATCTTATTTTTATTGTTTGATGTAGGCCTATATTGATTTTGAGATATCAGAGCATGAATTTGAAAGAACCAGAGAGCTGTATGAGAGACTTCTAGACAGAACAAAACACTTGAAGGTGTGGATCAGTTATGCCAAGTTTGAGGCATCAGCTATGGAGGATGACAGCCGGCTTTTGGAATTACCAGAAGACGATGTGCAGGAACATCTCCATGCACGGAAGGAACAATGTATTCAACACACTAGACGTAAGGAATCCCGTTACTGTTTTATTCATTCTAGGTCAATAGTTTTGCTATGTCATCCCTCAAGTAGAATGAAGATTGACAGTTTCATGCTTCAGGTGTCTTCGAAAAAGCTGTTACTTACTACAGAAATTCAGCACCAGAGTTGAAAGAGGAGAGAGCTATGCTCCTTGAGGAATGGTTGAATATTGAGACGAGTTTCGGTGAACTTGGTGATGTCAGCTTAGTGCAGTCTAAGCTTCCCAAGAAACTTAAGAAGAGACGTCAAATTGCTACTGAGGATGGTCCGGCTGGGTATGTCATTAACTTAATGTTCATGCCATGCATCATTGCTATCTAGTTGACTAGTTGACAAATTTCATTGTTTATACCGTTTAAATTTGGGGATTATTTTTCCATTTCTATTATTCAGTTTTTTTCCCATTCGTCCACCTAAAAGCCCATTTGTTGCACTGTGCGGAAGCATTATGTTACTATTTTTTTGGCAGGTTTGAGGAATACATAGATTACATGTTCCCGGAGGAAGCGCAAACTACAAATCTCAAGATCCTTGAAGCTGCTTACCGTTGGAAGAAGCAGAAAGTTGATGATAATTAGTTTGGCCTTTCCTTCTTCACTCCCTGCCCTTCACAGGTGTTCTTGCTTGTGTACTTCGAAGATGGGTTTTGCTGCAGAAACTGGCAAGTGCCTCTTATAAGATACTCATGGGACGATGGAATCGCCCGAGGTGACTGGTAATCATAAATTGTATGCACTGAATTTATAAAGGCTAAATGTTAGTTCTTGGTGTACATGGAAATTCGTAGATTTTTCTTTTAGCAATTTGTCCTGATCAGCTTTAGATTACTTGACATGACAATAACATAAATTGGATTTTAGTTAACTGTGTTGCATTAATCAAGTAGGAAGGATGTGTCTTGGATTCAATTGTGTTCACCTATATTGGATAAGATGGATTCATTGAGTACATGTATGAAAATCAAATCGTTACAATTTGTTTTTAGTTTTGTAATTGTATCCCGAACCCTTCTCTCCTGTTGTCTTTATTTTGACACGAAATCTAGGGCGTTGAGGTTGAAGATGATGGAATCCTAGGACTTTGGCCACTCTTGGCTAGTTGTGGCTAACTGGCTAATACCGGCGCTACCTAGAATGCGCGAGTGCAAGCATGTGAAAGATACTCAAGTATGAGAATAAAGGTATGTGTCGGCATTTTCCATTGATGTTCTTTGCATTACCCAACCAATAAGGAGATGAAGTGCAAAATAATAGCTCAACAGTGTTTAATTTCCTTTGTTTGTCTTGTTTTACAGTTCTTTTGTTGGAAACAATGTAACACTTTCCTCTTCCATTAATTTAAGCATGTCTTTATTTCTCTCTTTTGCTCCTCTTTTATTTTCAGCATGGAGGAATCTATCATGAAATCTTTTTACCTTGCAATAGCATTGATGTATGAAACTCAGCTCTCTCTTAGTAACTCTTCCATTGACTTATTCTGTTTGGCCAATGTTTGGCCAATCGAGGTAATGTATTAGCATAATCGAGCACCCAAAGGAGGAGTGTAATAGCTCAAATCTACTGTCAAATATGGTCCCTTTTGAGCTCCCTTCAAAGTTTTTAAAATGCGTTTGCTAGAAAGAGATTTTTACATTTTTATGAAAAATGTTTCGTTTTACTTCTAAGTGGATGTGAGATCTCACAATGAGAGTGTGTGGAACATCCAAAAAAATACAATACATCTACTTGTTAAACTTTTGATACGTCAATGCCCAATCTAATCCGACCTGATTTACTAGAATTCCTATATATGATTCTAAATTTTAGTCGATCCCTGTTTCCAAATTTTTCCTTATCTCAGTATTTCTTTTTGTTCACAAATTTCTTTTGGTCATTCTATTTTTAATTTATTAATTTGGCTCTTGATATAAATTTAACATAATATTACTAATTTGACATGATTTACTAGAATTTGAATATATGATTCTATAGTCCATTCATGTTTCCAAATCTTTCCAAATCTTTTGTTCACAAATTTTTTTGGCAAATTTTCTTGACCATTCTATTTTTAATTTATTAATTTGGCTCTTGATATAAATTTAACCTAATATTACTCATCTTACATGATTTACTAGAATTCGTATATATGATTGACATTTAGTGTCTAACTCAAAGCTAAACCATTGTAATAATTTAAAGAAGATTTAATTATAATTGATTGTGATTTTTGAAAAAGAAATATAACAACTGTGATTTAAGAAAATGAAGATTCAATGTATACTACAAGATCTATCTTCAGTAAACTTCTGGTGAATCTCAACTAAGTAAAGGTCATTCTCTTCTTTTTCTCAAGTATGACAATTGTTATTTATCTGTTTCCTTTTTACAGTAACAGTTACTTTATGGCTTAAGGATGGGTTGATGAGAGAAAACGGTGGGAAGGAATGAGAGGTTAGTGTTGAGAAGTGGGGAAATGTTGTTTTTTCTTTTTTGTTTATTTATTTATTAATTATTATTATTATTTATTTAATTTTTTTTTTGGATAAAACCATTTATAATAATTATAAAGTGGGTTCAGTTAATACTATTACAAGGATAAGACACCCAACATTTTCTATATATAAACTACTTTTTAGGTTATTACTTAAACATGATTATTTTGTATGACAACGGTATATTGCTGAGTTTATCATAATAACCTTAATTTTTATACAATATTGGGTAACGTCATTTATTAATAAGTGAGAAAATGTTTGATTAAAAAACTATGAGCTTTAAGACACAAATTCTACCCCTTGGAGCATATCGTATACTTAGAAAATGTTTGATTACATAGAGTACTCTTCCTCTGATTTAATTAACTTAATATTTGAATGGTATATTATCATTCTTTGAAGTTTTTCATTTATGAAGTATAACTAATTTCCTACTAAAATACCATGCATGACTTAATTTTTTAGGTAGAAATATTCATTTAAAATAATTTATAATGATGTCATGAACTTAAGTTCGCATTAAAAGCATTAAAAATAAAACAACTAAAGCTAATCAATGTGAAATATAATTAAATGAAAGAAAAGATTAAAACGATATCCTGATCTAAAATAAGAGCTACAAATAAATAAAATGCAATTATCCTAGCACAAGTTCCATGGTCATCAATGCTATGTTGTCATCATCCGTACATGGATGCCTTATGTAACGACTCGAAATTTCTACTTAATTTAAGTTCGCTATTGTATACATGTCATAAACATGAAGGCGTAAATATTTCATTTAAACTTTCGTAAATATAACCTTTAGCTTAAAACGTAGTCATGGACTTACGTGTTTGAAAACACTTTTTAAAAATGACACAATAAAAGACTAAACAAAATAAATAAACGTTTTAAGTCTAAGAAAATAATACGACTACTCTATGCATGTGTCATGGTCTTGAGTTGCGATGTCGTCGTCAGTCATACAGGAATGTCTTGCCTTAACCTGAAATAGAGGTAACACGTGGCTTGAGTAATTAAAGAAATACTCAGTAAGTGACCCACTATTGGGGTTAAATGCAAGAACATGCAAATGCAATAACGGGACCTATCATATCAATCTATTTTTCCTACGACACTATTTTAATTGGGCAGCTTGGATGTGTACCATATACTCTACATACACCCCATACGTGCGGGTATGGGCTCACCAGACAGTTCGCACATCGTTGGGCTCTTTTTCTTGTTGGACGAGCCTTCTCTGGTAGCTCTCCTTCTACCAACACCCATTAGAATTAGTAACCGTCATGACAGCATTATGTAAAACATAATGATACTTCGCCTGCCTAGTGGATGTACGCGTCTGTACCCTCGTGATAGAATAGGAGTATCCCCCAATGCATGAGCACACATAATGCATGAGGTCCCAACAATTTTCCGTTTTCATTATCATTTAATACAACTCCGCTAGCATTCTGTACATATTGTATCATTTTTCATATCATTTCACATATCATTCATCATTCATATCATATCGTTTCTCGTTCTTCAGTTCTCATATCATACATAATTCTAACAGGGTTATATTTCATGTCATTTATCGTGATTTCATGTCATTCATATTATGTTGTATACACACAATTTAGGAGATATAACGTAATGTCTCATAAACATGTCAATTTATAGCATATCATAAACATGTCAATTTATAACATATCTTGTACCCTAACATATTTCATATCATATGACAACATATATATATATATATATATATATATATATCCATCATTCACATGTCGTATCATAATTATATCATATCGTAAACACTTTGTGGTCATATCGTTCCCTACTTATCATAGTCTCAACGTCCTTATACCTATCACAGTCATATCGTTACATGAACGGACCTTAGTCATATCATTACATGAACGGACCTTAGTCATATCATTACACAAACATATCCTAACGCTATTGTTCTATCAATCTATCACAAACCTATCCCTTTCTACCCATAACCTAACCGTATTCTTTTATCAATCTCTCATATCCATAGCACTTCGTATGTAACCTAACCTTAACGTTTCATGAACGTATCTTACTCCTATTGTTACATTTCGTTTTGTGCATTCTTCTCGTATCCTATCTCAAACATATCATTGAGCACATCGTACCATGATTATTATCATACAATTCACATATCATAACATATCATAAGCATATCGATTCACAAATAATTCACACATATCAGTATATATGACACGTGCAGAACCACGGGCACGTGTCAACATCAATTATAACCATGCTGATAGTAAGGCCACTTACCTGGTTAGCTTAAGTCGTTGTCACGAATATATCCTTAATGAAAGTTCGATTTCGTCCTTTGAAATCCAAGTCAATCTATATGAGCCCATGACATCAATTTCAAGTTTGAACTCTATAAAATTATTTCTCTATTTACCTTGGTACATTGTTAAAAGTCTTGAAATGTTGTATATATATAGATATAATGTTATTTTCACTAAATATCTTATTTTCTATTATTATTGTGGTAGGAATATATTGTTACTAGACAAAATTTAATAGAGTTTCTTGTCCTTTGATATTTCCTATTTTATTTTTAAATTTTGTTCACCAAATGTGGCCGATGCTCGCACACCCCTGGGCTAGTTTCTCTAGGCTATTGTTGGAGAACTAGAGGAAACAGCGACCGTCAAAGTATCATGGTAAAATGTTGGTCATTTAAGTGTCATAGTGTACGCATCCATATTCATCATAATAGGGAAGCATTGCAATACGCATGAACACACAATTATGCAAAAGGGTTACCATATTTTCTATCGTAATAAATGACGTAAAACAACCTTCATTCTTTCATCACATATCACACTTGGTAATGTGCGTACATAAACTCTCATTAAATCATTTCATTCGTAACATAACTTTCAAATCATGGCATTGGAATTTTGCATTGTAGATTTTCTTTATTTTAAAACATATCATAGCACGTCATAGCTTATCATGGCCTTACATAACATATCATAGTTGTAACGACCCAAGCACATTGCTAGCAGATATTGTCCTCTATGGGCTTCACTACTTTTAGGCTTCTCCTCAACGCTTTAAAACGTGTTTGCTAGGGGAAGATTTTCACACCCTTATAAATGGTGTTTTGTTCTCCTCCCCAACCAATGTGGGACATCACAATCCACTCCCCTTCGAGGCCCAGCGTCCTAGTTGGCACTTGTTCCTTTCTCCAATTGATGTGGGACCCCCCCACAAAATCCATCTTTGTTCTCCTCCCCAACCAATGTGGGACATCACAATCCACCCCCTTCGAGGCCCACATCACAATCCACCCCCCTTCGACCTTTGTTCTCCTCCCTAACTGGCACTTCCTTTGTTCTCCTCCCTAACTGGCACTTGTTTCTTTCTCCAATCGATGTGGGACCCCCACAAAATCCACCCCCCTTGGGACCCCCACAAAATCCACCTTTGTTCTCCTCCCTAACTGGCACTTGT